GTATATTCCACTGCGTGTCCTAAATCCCCACCCATAAAACCTTATAACCACCGTTTTCGAAGGAAAACATGCAGGGAGTGGTGATTAATGAGTGGGCCTATATAAGCTACTGTTGCCTATTTTCCTTTGCAGCCGTGCGACATTAGAATTTATGAACACTTTAGATAGTTAAGGCTGCTTTGAAAGAGAGCCAACGTTGTGTCCATAATCACATCTTCTCTTTTCGTCAATTGTTAAATCACCACGATATTATAAACTTGAAATTCAAGCAAAATCATTAAAGTGTAAAACTATCCAGGCTTTATGCTGAAGAATACGAGCGCATGATCGTCAGAATGTGCGAATTTGAGGAGGGGTGGACAGGTGAAAATACTTCGACAACACTTTTCACCACTTTAACAGAAGTAGGCTTAACCCCATCGCAATATAGGTGTCTCGGAAGAGGCGACAACAGAAGGTATGGGAAGACAGGAATTGGTCGATAACTTTATAGGGCGCCGTCTCGCGCATTCACAGGTAGTGAGGCCACCTTCAGCGAAGTCTAGCTTATAGGGCGCCGTCTCGCGCATTCACAGGTAGTGAGGCCACCTTCAGCGAAGTCTAGCTACAAAATAAGTAGGCTCACTTGTCCGAAGAATAAACAGTAGTGGATAATGCAACCACAAGATCTTCAAGTTTAGTCGACACTGACCTCGGTAATCGACTGCCTGGAAAAAAGACTGGAAATCTTCGCGGCGTTACGAGAAATCAAATTTTGCTCGCGTTACGTTGCAATCCTGAAACTGGACTAATACCCTGAATCAAGAAACAACAGGAAACCAGTCTTCCAGCACAAGACTGGTTCGGGAGAAGAAGCATAGCCGGGCTTTTCACGACCTAGGGATCACGGTCCGCACACGCTGACTGAATTTGTAAAGGCACAATGGTGCTCAGAGGAGCCATTTCCAACGCAAAAGCAGCAGAATTATAGTAGATAAAAGGAAACCATGGGGGCCTGTATAGTAAACCTCACCATGAAATATGCAATATTGTTGCTTGTGGCTAATCAAGTCATGCAAAAATAAAAAAGCTTTCTCGTCTACCTCGACAAGGGGACTATTTGGCCAAAAATGATCAATTTGACAAATTTTCACACCCTGAAATACCTTTTCCTCTAGAGCAGAGATATTTGCTTCTAAGAGGATGATTTTTTCAAGAGCAGAGTTCAACTTCGTTGTGGTGTCCCTCAGCTGCTCGTCTTTGGCCTGCATTTCTGCCGCATGAGCAGTTTCCGATTGGCATACGGTTAACAGAGCATTGTCAAAATCTTTCTGCAGGCTTTCAAACCGATTGTCCTGGCGTGACTGTTCCTCCTTGTGCTGGCACAGATCTCGCTTGGCAAACTCCAACTGCTGGGTGACCCTGAAAACTTCATCAGACAATGTCTTCTCAAGGGCACACTTCTCCTGTTGATGACGTTCATTGGTCAGGATTTTCTCCTTAAGCTAGAAATTAAAGGTGAAGATAATGTGTGCGGGTTTCCGAAAGCCCTCCATATTTAATGGGAACATTATATGTTAATGTAGGGATCATTTTTTGCGTAAGTCGAAAGAACAGTAATCATCAAGATGGCATCATTTTGCTGTGAGAAAATGTTCAGCAAAATGTACAATGTCATCCAAAACCTGATGGACGCTTTGTCAACAAGAAACCATCAGACGCGGTTAAATAGAACAGCCTACGGCGTAAAAGAACCCAATTTCGCTTTGCAGTCAAGAGGTTGATGTTTATTTCGCCAACAGAAGCTAAGGGCCCAACAATATTGTATTGAAAACAATTGCATAAGCCGTACGCGACATGCTGTAATTAGTTCCCTCAGGGAAATAGTTTTTTGACCGTTAATTATTAGTTATGGTAACCACTGAATTTCCACTTTGTTCAATAACAGCTACAGAAATGCCAGCCTTAGGCAGGATACTATCAAGAATAACTTGATTAGATCGTATGCGCAGTCACTCACGAGTATGAAGGTAGAGCATCGTGGT